GAGAAGACGCCGGAGCAGGAGGCGAAGATGGTGGTGCTTGTGGGCTTGGCGATGACGGAGGAGGCGGACCACCGACTATGATCGGAGAGGTCACCATCAGCGAAGGATTTGGCCGAGGAGGCGTCGGAGGCCGAGCAGGACCAAGACCGCTCCAGCTGCCGTAAGAATCTTCAACATCTTTGTCATCAGCTGTGCTTGAATGCTCGGTAGGTGGCGGAACATCACCGCCACCACCTGTGCCATCAGAAGAATCATCCACCGAAAGTTCATCTACATCCACGCTATCTCCACGATCGTCATCAACATTTCCATCGTCATCAATCTCCATCGCAAGATCGGTCGAGGAAACACTTGGCACAGCAGCTGTTGAAACAGTCGGAGCCGGCTTTAGAGACACGGGGGCTTGTGGAACAGCTTCAACAAGGGCAATCCCTGCTGTGGATACCACTCCCGAGACTTCAACCGTCTTGAAAGTCGCAGCAGACGACGAAGCAGCCTTGCCTGGTGGGACAGTGTTGTCCGACTCTTCACCTTCGTCACTTGAGCCGAACATGAGTCGACATTGCTCGGCCTCACGCAAGGCTTCTTCAGGGACACGTATGTCAGCTGGAGAAGGAGAGGTCGTCGACGCTGGCGGCTTGGCCACGTCAGGAGAGTTTTGAGGTAGAGACGAAGGCGCGTCGAGAAGGCCGGAGACATCGTCGTGATCCCCAGAGTCCACTTCTTTGCCCGAAGACTCGGTGGCAGTATCTGAGCTGACGGGACCCCACTTGAACCAACATTCACCATGTCCACGTCACTCTGGTCACCGCTGAGGTTAACAGCGGCGGGAGTCGAGGATGACGCTGGGGTGCGAGGCGACGACCATGAGCAAGGAGAAGACGGTACAGACTTAGACCGAGTCTTCATATGACGTCGGGGCGCTTTGGCAGGAGAGCGAAGGCGAGTCTTCTGGCGCTTCCTCTGGGCCGCTTGCTTCCATGCCTTCGGGCTGAGCAGCGACCGACGTGCCGACTTGGGAGTTAAAGTGTCGGTAGGTGGCGCATCACCGAGACCAGCAGCTGACATTGAAGTACTGACCTTGTCCGTTGGTATAAGAGCCGTGTCTTCGTCACAAGTCGTCCAACTCGTCGTCCGACGCCTTGCCACCTGGTCAAAGACGCTTGTGGGGCTTCCCATGAGCTACTTGATGAGCAGCCTTCGCCAAAGCTGCAGGAAGAGCCTGCGGGTCGTTCCAAGACGCGGCAGCAGACTGTATGCGCTGCAGAGCGACCAACGTCTCTTGATCCAAGTCCAGAGCGTCCAGGTCCAGCTCACCCGCAGTAAGACCTGTCACGAATGATTGTGAATGAGCGCTAGTTGCTGAACTCACGGTGGAAAGAATAATACGAGGAGCGTACCATCAACGGCCAGGCGCAGTACCTCCGGATCTATCCCGGTCAGACTCACGTGTGCACGGAGAGTGCGATCTTGCTGGTTCTCGAGGACCTTGAGCGTGTCGTTGTCAACGTACTTGCCCTTGGAAAGCTTGACCACAAGAAGATGAAGTTGGCGAGTCGATTCGGTGTTCGCGCCGATCAAATACTTGTATACTTCGCGATCACGGGCCAGCTTCTTGTTCAAGGTGGCGATAAACGAGTCCCGTGCTTGGACCTCGCAGTGCAGACGATTCAAGTCTTCTGAATGTTGCTCCATGGTGGCCCGAACACTAGCGAGCATGGCATCGTTCTTAACGTTCGACTCGCGGAGAATCTTGACGTCCTTGCGAAGAGCTTCGACTTCGGCGTTGGCAGCCTTGAGGTACGCCTCCACGTTCTCCCGAGCCATGATTTCGGGTGCCACCGAACGTACGGCGGCGGCAGCCTCGGTCTGGGCAGCCCGCAACTGACGCTCCAAGCTGATAGCTCGGTCGGGCAATGCCGACAACGCATCAGGAAAAGGCTGTACGGCGGCGAGGACCTCGTCGAAGCCCACGGCAGTCTCGAGGCGACGTTGAGCGTGGACATCGCCGTGAAGAGGAGGCGCAACGTTGAGTTGCACTTGGTGACGAGCCATCTCAGTCAAGTACGTAGTTATCGAGGTCATCATGTGATCGGCCGACGCCCCCGTACTTTCATTCAGCATGGCGCGCAATGAATCCTCGGTGAGTGGTGGAGGACCACCAGCATGCGCAGGCGGACCAGCAGGAGCTATCTCCGTGGATTCAGCGACGACAGGAAGTGCCGCAGGAGCTGCAGCAGGAGGTGAAGAGTCCGAGGCAGGAAGCGCCGGAGGGCCAGCTGATGACGTTGCCGTCGGAGGAAGTGTGGCAGGCTGAGGGTCGTTCGAAACCTCGGTGTCGCCCTCCTGAGAAACAAGACGAGTAATGCATGGTGATGAGCAAGGCGCCGATGATTCAAGAGGAAGATGTGCTGACGTACCTCTAGCTGTTCACGTTCACGTCGTCGGCGAGGGTTAAGAAGTTGGATCGCGTTGTTCACGGCACGATTAAGGCGCTTGGATATCCTGAGATTGAATGGTGAATTGGAGATTGAAGAAATGTCACAACGGGCAGCTTCCATTGCGACAGAAGCAGCTGTGGTGCAGTGATTTCTCCATAGTTGCGGATAATCGCCCGTCGACAAAGACGCGACACCGCCCACGATGTTCAAGCGACGAACCCTCGGTCATGTGATGTACAGTGACTCCAAGGTGCAAGACACTCGACGGCGTCAGTACCGAACTCTCAACGGATATTGGATGCGGTTCATATGTCACTGAATCCAGGCTGTCCTTATTATTAATAATGGACTGGCCGGATTCGCATTCAGCGGCCAGGAACTGACCATCTACGGTACGAACCCTCGGTGGCGGTTATGATGAGTTCGCGGAGGACTCAGCGACCCTATGAAGGCACGTTCATCGTCTGGGACAGGGCGCGAGCCGTTAAAGATGCTCAAGTGACGGTGTAGACGACGCTTGGCGTGCCAGAAGATCCATAACGGATCATTGCTCACTTGATATTTGTATACTTGATTAGGACTTCTTATTAGGAATAGACCCGAAAGGGTAAACATAAATACAGAACAGAATTTTCACTCAAGCACACAGAGCGACGTCCGGCTTCAAGGGAAGCGTCTGGTCAAGCTTGTTTGAGTGTGTTATGCATGTAGGTGAACTCGTAGCTCTGTAGCGAGGGTTCATCCCGCAAGGCCAAGAGACTGTGTGTTTTGGCCGATTACAATCGGGAGGTTTTACTTGACGGCTTATTGTTGCCTATTTGCACGGCTGGGATTGCTTGTTTTGCATCCCTTTTATTCTTCCAGCCAAATGTTGAACACTCGGTGCCCTCGTAAGAGGCTTACCCGTGCCTGGTACCCTTCCGCTGTTGGGACCACGAGGATCCATAACACCTATTAGCTTTTCTCGTACTAGTAGCGTTTTCCTAGTTTTACTGGTTGGTCTATATAAGTAGTTTACAAGGTCCAGTTTGTACCGGTGCAAGAGCAGAACTGGGGTCTTCAGGTCTGCCCGAACGATCGTTTACTATCCTAGTAGACGTATTGTTGTGGGAACGTCCTAATACATTTGTAGCTAGAGTTCACGTGGGAATTCCAACACCACACTAACCGCTTCATCATGCGTGTGGTATGTATCTCTACCCTAGATGGGTTGATTTTGAAGAACATACCTTTGTAATGTAGCTCGACAAGAGAAGGACGATACATGCTTCAGTATCTGGCACACGGACTGGAGCAATGGACTGGACATCCCGCGGCTAATTCTGGACGAGCACAAGCTGCGCCATCGCCCACCACCGTCGCGCCCGGGAAAGAAGCGTAGACGCCAAGTATCGGAGGCTGGCGAAGCGCGTAGTGATGATGTCGCCGCCGAGCAGAGCGACGGAAATGCTGACGAGTCGACTGGAAACGCGGAAGGCGATGAAGCGTAGTTAGCACAGTCTTTTTCCTGCTTGCTGTGGTGGCTGATCTGCTTCGGGTGCTTGCAATCACATGAAACAAAACAAAATCTCTCTTTTCATTGGTAAATAAAAGGTTGAGTACCGTTTCTGGACGTTTGCAACAGTATAAGAAATGGTATATCAGTAAAAAGGGCGCTGCCTTTGTTTTTCAAGCCAGCATTACTAAATGAAGCGACGTATTGAGACTCCATTAAAGGATTTATGTTGAAGGTGAGGTGACCGTCCTAGCACGTACTCTCCCCAAACCCTGAGCTTTAGACGCAAATCCCGTAAGTTATTGATAGCAGGTCCTAGGTAGTTAAGGACTGTAATAAAGAATCTACCTTGGGTAGAAGGAATTTAACCAAGCCCTGAGCTTCCTTTTTTGATCCACATACAAACAGCCATATAAACTTATATGGGACGACCTCGTGAATAGGGTCAGGAACTAAGGGGTTAATTCAATTTATTTCTGGACGAATAAAAATTTATTTTAGAAACTAAAGTTTTCTTATAATAGCTTTTTAGAAACGGCAGGAATAAAAATAATAGAATATAATAATTAGAAAAAAGAAATAGTAGTGCAAAAAGATTGCGTCAGCAGATTCATTCATTTAATTGGTTAAAAAAAGCGAATCGTTGCCCCCTCTTTGATCGTGTCATCATAGTAGTAGTACTTCAAAATATTCCCAGTGCTCGAATGCTTCTCTTGGTTTCTGTAGAGCTATCTTGCGCACTCACAAGTTGCAAGACTAGATTTAATTCTCGTTTCCTGGCTTCGTGTCCTGCTCGCGCGTCAGATTATCACGCAAAAAGAAGATCATATACGTTTTATGAAGTCATCGCCGTAACGTGGAGAAGTGCTTTTTAATATGTGTACTTGAAGTCTATACTTCACTGATACTTTTATTCTGTAGTACTCCGAATGAGCTTCAGCAATACTATTAATATACTACAGTATAAGGATTTCAAAAATGGACGTTTTTCACACTGGAACTGTGTCCCCATAAGCAAACGTGGTCTGCCTGCCTCCACCCACTCGGCAGATTCCAATTTTCCAGTGCGCGCTCAAGGGATCCAAAGCTCCGCTAGTCGTATCATGGGTCTGCTCGTGGAAGGTAGTCCGCTTGACTGGCCGGATGCCTTAGAGTGGCTGCAGCATGTGCGCACGCAGGGCATCGACCAATTCCTGCACACATACAACCGCGTAAAGGACATCGAGGGCGATGAGCTCAAGTGGGGCGACGAGCTCGAGTACGGCGTGTTTCACATGGATAAGGAGACCAAACTTGCCCGTCTGGCGCTGCGTGGTGCTGAGATTTTGCGCCAACTACAGGCCAAAGAGAAGAAATCCGAGGAGCAGGGCCGCAAGCCCGGGAGTCCAAAGGCCGCCGCGGGTCCCTGCGTGGAAGGTTGCAACTGGGTCCCTGAATATGGCGGTTGGATGATCGAGGGCACGCCCAGCGCGCCCTACGGCGGTTTCACCAGCGATCTACGCAAGGTTGAAGGCAACATGCGATTGCGACGTGCGCGTCTTCTGGCGCTGCTGAACGAGGACGAGATCGCGCCGTCCGTCACGGCCTTCCCCATGATGGGCGTCGGCGACTTCACCATGCCGCCTAGTCAGACACACGGGCCCGTAGCCATGTCAGACTACATTAGCGACGCCATTATCAACCCGCACCCGCGCTTCGCCACGCTGACGCGGAACATTCGTCAGCGTCGCACCAGGAAGGTGGACATCCGCGTTCCGATCTTCCGCGACGTGTACACGGAGGCGAGACAGGAGGAAGAGCAGGCGACGTGGAACGCTGAAAAGTCACGTCCTAAGTACGAGACCAAGAGGGACGATGGGTCAGCGCCTACGTCGCCGAGTTCGGCCTCCAACTCGGAGGACAACGCTGAGTCCAAGTCGCCAATGAGAAAAACACTGGACAGCGAGTTTAAGTCCGTTCGTAAGGGCTCCATAGTGGACGGCGACCACAAGGCGGAGCCGTATCCAGGCTTCATCCACATGGACGCCATGGCTTTCGGCATGGGCATGTGCTGTCTGCAAGTGACCTTCCAGGCCAAGAATGTGGGTGAGTCGCGACACTTGTACGATCATTTGGGCGTTCTTTCGCCCATTTTGATGGGTTTGACGGCTGCTACACCCATTCTGAAAGGTCGATTGGCTGACACGGACGTGCGTTGGGCTACAATATCTGCTGCAGTGGATGATCGTACGCCACAGGAGCTGGGCGAGGTGCCGCCTCCGTCAGACTCGGAAACTCAGGCGAAATACGCCAAGATGGCTGGCAATGGCGTCAAGCGTCTGCCCAAGTCTCGCTATGAAGGCATCTCGACTTTTATCTGCAACCACAAACAAGGCGAGGACCCCCACACGTCAACGGACAAGTACAACGACGTCGACGTACCGTACGACGAGGAATCCTACAAGACTCTGATTGACTCAGGCGTGGATCGACTGCTGGCGCTCCACATCTCGCACCTGTTCATCCGTGACCCATTGGTCATCTACCAGCAACGTCTGCATCTGGACAATGAGCATGAAACAGACCACTTTGAGAACATCCAGTCCACAAACTGGCAGACTGTGCGCTGGAAACCTCCTCCGCCAGCGCCGCCGAGTTCTGAAGGCCCACACATCGGCTGGCGAACAGAGTTCCGCTCGATGGAGATCCAACTTACGGACTTTGAGAACGCAGCTTTCACCGTGTTCATCGCTCTGGTGTCGCGTGTGATTCTTACATTCGATCTGAACTTGTACATCCCGCTGTCCAAGGTGAACGACAATATGGAGGCAGCTCATCGCGTGAACGCTGTGCTGGACGAGAAGTTCCATTTCCGTTGCCACATGGCTCCCCCTGAGGTCGATGACTGCTGCTCCACGGGGTCGTGCCATCTACACGACGATCCGGACCGTTCTGAGCTTATGACGATCGCGGAGATTATGCTGGGCAAGGGCTCGTACTTCCCTGGTCTCATCCCGCTGGTGTATGCTTATCTGGACCACATTGAGTGCGATGAAGCCACCCGGACTCTCGTGGAGAAGTACATGTGTCTTATTGCGAAGCGTGCGACGGGTGAACTGCCGACGGCGGCCACCTGGATGCGTCGCTTTGTGCGCGCGCACCCAGACTACCGTCACGACTCGGTGGTGCCCCACTCAACGGCCTTCGACTTGTTGAATGAGTGTCAGCAGATTGGCGAGGGATTGAAGCAGTGTCCAGAGCTACTGGGCGACTTTAAGATCGCTCCTGTGCGAGGCCAGGCTGCTTACCGTGTGCCGCTGAAGAGCAGTGGAGTGGCTACCGAGAAACGCCAGGCTTTGCTGCAGCGATACCTTGGACGTACCTCATCGAACGTGTGTAGTACCTGCCACTGCTAATATAATGCGCAGCAAGGTGCAACGCAAGCAACAAGTCGCATCAAATGAATATATATTGAGTTTCGAGTCTTGGTGCGGTCTACAGTTTGTCTTCGAACCAGGCACAAGAAGCTACGTCTTCAGCTATCAATACACTGCAGTTCGCTTTCTATTCTTACGTGGACGCCAATGCAGGTGACACCTTTCACGTGCTCTGAAATAGAGGAGAAACGACAATCTTGAGCTGCGCGGTGTCTTACCTTGACGGAGTTTGCAGTGCGTCTTCTTTACGAGAACGCACGCCTGCAACTGTGCGCTTTGGACAGGTGAGCGAGGATTTCGCTGCCTCGTATTCAATCCCGAACCTCCTTCAGCCGGTCGTCTACCATGGAGGAGGCGCCTGTGCCGCGCAATCCGCCACCTAAGCCCAAACGCTCCAACGTGCCGTCAGCACCTGCAGACTACCCCGACGACACGTACTCGGACCAGGACTACAACATGTCTCCTATCCGACGGGGTCGTCAACATGCTAACCGACAAAGTGGATCTCCGCCGATGACACCTCCGTACACGGTGCCTCACCAAGCCAAGGTGCCCATTATCGACGCCGAACCGGAGACCACCATCGGTGCCGCTGTCAAGATGAAAGGTGAACTGAGCTTCGAACGCCTGCTTCGAATCGAAGGTGAATTCGAGGGCAAACTCAACTCGAAAGGTTCCCTTGTGATTGGGACTCGTGGGGCTCTTATCGGCAACGTTGACAACATGAAGGAGGTGTATATCACAGGCGGTCGAATCGTGGGTAATGTCAATGTGGAGAAGCTCGTGCTCCGAGACAAGGCCCAAATATTCGGAAACATCATTGCCAAGTCGGTCAAGATTGAGCCAGAGTGCATTGTTGTTGGACGGATCAATGTGAACCCGCAGGCACCTGAGCGAATCAACGAAAAAGGCGAGATCGTCAAGGATGATGCACCTGATGGCACGCCTTCAAGCTAAGCTGAAGACATATCTATTAGACTCACCTCGAAAACGTGATAAACAAGAAAAATAATTTCCTTTCGCATCCCCGAAAAAGCATTAGATTCGATGAAATATATACCCAGCAGTCCCACCGACGAGAGCTGCATGTACGCTGCTATTACCAGTTTAGAACTTGCCGGGACGCTTTCTGCCTGTAAACTTGCTGTCTGCCTTGACCTTCTTGCCCTGCTTGCGGTAGCGCTCCTTCTTGGCCATCACCCAGTCCTTGGCCTTAATAGCGTCACGACCTTTTCCTCGGCGTTGCTACACACAATCCAGACTGTAAGTACACAACCATAAATCAATCGAGCGACGGAACCACAATACGTACGCGTTGGTTCTTGGCGCGTCCTTCGTACGAGATCTGGTTAGCTGCGGCTCCAGTCCCAAGACCCTGAGGCACTTGCTGTTGCTCCATGTATCCCGCAAATAGACACAGATAGAACTTCTTAGCCTTGGCACTATTGGGGAAGTCGATAACGAGACCACCCGAGAAACCGCAGCGCATCGCGGTGCCCGAGATTTCTTCCATCTGCTCGGGCGTCTCCGGGTAGAGCTGCAGTACCGCGCGACTCCCAGCCTTCAGACATGTGTACAGCGACGTGAAGAAGCGTGTAAGACGTTTACGCGCTGTGTGCTCCTTCTTGTCCGAGTAGCAGAGCCACTGTACAGCCGAAATACTGATGCAGCCGTCGAACACACCCGGTCGGAAGGGCAGGCCTCCACCCATGTCTTGCAAGAACACGTCACCACTGCTATCGCGCTCAGAAGCAATGTCCAGCATGTCCTTGCTAATGTCCACACCTACCCACGCGTGGCCGTGCTCTTCCAAGGCCACTGATGTCATAAAGTGATAAAAAGGTGAGGTATTTCAGCGTGTAAAGAGTTATTTAATATGATAACTCGCAATACGGACCTCCACTCAGACCACTGCCACAGCCGACGTCTAGGATAAAGGCTTCCTTGCCATCGGGCAGGTTCAACAGCTCAATGGCGCGGTTCGAGAGCTCCTCCTGCACCTTAACGATACGCGAGCTCGAGTTGTACTTGGCCGCCTCCTTCTCATCGTAGAAGAGCTGAAACAATGGATGCACAGTTACATAACGCTAGCGGTGGACATATTGCAACGATCTAGTTGTTGGATGCACCTCAGGCGGCGAGATGTGCTCGGGACGACTCATGCTGCTTGCAGTCGACGATGCAACTGCGCCTCCTCCACCAAAACTGAATTCAGTTGCGTGAAAGATTCTAAATATTAAGCAACTTCAGTCGAGCAACTTTAGTTATTTTCAGATGAGCACCCGCTCTTTTACATGAAGTTCTTATCGAGCTCTCTTCGTCTTGTGTCTCGCATCTATTCATCCGGCAGAGCTCGACCGTCTCCATCTAGTCTAAGTGACTAGGAATCTCACGTTTGGATACTGAAGTTTCGGTCAAAATGGCGCAACAGAAGCCGGACTTGTCGATGTTTGACCACAGCATCATGAAGGACGGCACCAATAGTGAACTGTCCGCTCCAAGTATGCTCAGCCCGGTATCAGGTTTGTCCAGTGACACATCGTCGTTCCTGTACGGCGGAGGTTACGCGCACGCGCCCAATTCGCGGCCAGCGCCGCCCCAATCCGCAACCTTGCGCACGAATTTTACTTCAGCTGCAAACGACCAGAGCGGAACGAGACCAGCGTCATCTTTGCCGCCTACTAAAGAAGATGACACGTCCGAGTCGCCCGACGCAGCCTTCCGGCACTTCAGAACTCCAGCCAACGACCCCGGGATGCCTTTCTCGGACATGGTGGTGTCAGCCTCCCCATTATATGGACGAGCGTCCAAGCGCAATATGATGTTCATCGCGCTGGCGATTGTCATGGGCAGTGTCGTTGGTGCACTGCTCAAGCACTTTAAGATTAAGACGACTACGGCAGAGTGGATTATGACGCCTGGCAACCTCTTCGTCCGTGCAGTGCAGTGTGTGGTGGTGCCTATGGTCCTTGTCAACCTTGTGGTGGCGACTGCCGACATCACGAATAAAAGACTAGGCAAGCGACTCAGTCTGCGTGTGACTGCACTCTTCCTGGTGTCAATTATTGTAGCCATCCTGCAGGGTCTGCTTACAGGCGTCATCATGCATTCGTCCTTCATGTCGTTCCAGAAGGACGAATCGACATCCAGCACAGACCCCATCTTCGGCATTCAGTGTGGAAACGGCAAGTATCTGGAGGCAGGAGAGGACGGTGTGGTGACGTGCTCAGCAACTGAGATCTTTGGTACCTCGCAGTTCGCTCTGGACGATGTCAACGGTGCCCTCGTGCGTAATGAGGCTTTGACGGGGACGAACACCACGATGTCAAATAATGTGCTGGCCATCATCAATCAGCTGGTGCCTAACAACATCATGGCAGCCTTTGTTTCCAATACGCTGCTCAGTATCGCGGCGTTCTCACTGCCACTTGGAGTTACCCTGGCTTACAGCTTCCACGGTCCAACCAACCTCAACCCACTGCTCGAGTTTTTCCGTGAAGTAAATGAGACTCTCGTGCACATGGCCCATTGGATTCTCCGCTTCACTCCGTTCGCAGTGCTAAGTCTGCTAGCAGGATCCCTCGCCACCTCGTTAGAAGACTCAGTCGCCGATCATCCACTCAACCTGGTGCTGCAAGTGGTGGCTGCTCTGGCTGTCAGTGTATTTGTACACATGCTGATCGTGGTGCCTGCTGCGTTCGTGGTGTTCACTCGACGGAATCCGTTCCGCTTCATGCGTCAAATGCTACCGGCGTACGTGTACAGTCTCGGTTGCTCATCATCGATGGCCACAATGCCACTTAGTCTGCAGTGTATCGAAACGTCTCGCGAAGTCCCCAGTCCCGTAATGCATTTCGTCTTGTCCGTGGGCACATCGCTGCATATGCCTGGCACGGCGCTTTATCTGGCGTTGCTGGTGCACTTTATGGCTGATGTAGCTGCCGTGGCGGAAGCTCAATCGGGTACCACGATGCTAGTGTCGTTCCTCGGTGTCTTGCTGTGCACTATCACAGCACCACCCATCCCAGGAGGTGCGCTTACAGTGCTGACTGCTGCCTGGAATATTGTCTTCCCCGAGTCCGCCATTCCGGACAACTTGTATGCACTTGTAGTGGCGTCCGATGTGTTCTTGGACCGCTTTGTCACGCTTTGCAACGTCAACGCGCAAGCTATGCTCTGCCGTGTATTAGCTGATCAAGTTGACGAGAACGACACAACTAACGCTCCACGCGCACAGGTTCAGCAGTACGCAGTACGGTAATTTACTCCCAGCTCAATAAAGTTGAAAACCCGAGAAATATTGTGGTCAAACATGTAACGTTAGTATCTTTATTTCCATCCTTCCCATGCGCCTTATGCTTGTGGTGGGGCAGGTGTAGACGGCAGCTTCTCAACTGGAGTGGGCGCTGGTGAGTTGCTGAAGTACGGGTGCTTCAAGGCCTCCTCGGCAGTGATGCGTTCCGCTGGATTGTACTTCAGCATTTTTGACAGCAAATCCAACGCGTCCTCAGATGCTGCTGAGAAAATAGACGCAAGTGGAAGCGCTGTGCTCGGTGTGAACTCGACAAAGTTGGCCAGCGAGCTCACACCGGGCCACTCCTCCTCTGTCGGTGTACCAAGAGCATGGAAGATCTTTCCAAGCTGATCCAACTCGTTCAACCCCGTAAGATATGGTGTACGCAGCATGAGCTCAGCGAAAATGCAACCGGCTCCCCACATGTCCACGGATCCGCTGTATTCTCTCGCACCGAAGAGCAACTCCGGTGGTCGATACCAAATCGTACAGACCATCGAGGTCATATTGCGGTTGGGACTGCCGTAGACTCTGGCAAGACCAAAATCTCCAATCTTGACATGGCCGTCGGGCCCGATAAGCAAGTTCTCAGGCTTGAGATCGCGGTGCAAAACGTAGTGCTCGTGGCAGTAGGCGATACCCTTGAGCAGCATTTGCATGTACGTCTTGATGTCGGCGGCTGTGAGCACCACCGCCTTATCTTTGACAACGTCGTCCAAATTGCTGGGAAGCAGCTCGAACACAACGTTCATGGTGTCGTTGGCTACGAACACATCGAGCAGTTCCACGACGTTCACGTGCTTGAGCTCTGCCTGCAGCTTCACCTCACGCAAAGCCGTGAAGTCCACGCCGTCCTTAAACTTGCCGCGTTTAAACTGCTTGATGGCTACGCGACGACCTGTGCTCCTCTGCACGGCGGCGTACACGATACCGAACGTACCCTCGCCCAAGACGTCGCCGCGATCATAACGCTCCATATTCAATTCGCATATAGTGACAGGTCATTAAACAAGATAAAGAAGGAAGTATGGAGTGCAAAACCCCATTCTGGAGCTTGAAGTAGACCATCACTCCTAAAAAAAAGATCGTACCGCTGGGAGTTTCTGAGTGCAACAAGAACGGCTATTCACCCAGATATTTTACACACAAACTGTGTCAATCTACAGGCATATTTGCTTAAAGCGTCGGGAGTTTCTTCTTCGCCCCAGATGTAGCCATCCGTCACGACCCTCTACAGTGACTATTTGGTGGGGCTCCCATTTTCCTGTCCACTCGCGAATTCGCTAGCTAGCCGTCAAGCAGCACTTACACTTCGAGTAAGCTTCATCACCCAGCTTCCTCGTCGTCTTCAACTTGTACTTGACCCCAGCCAACCTTCGTTTCTCCAGCTCCCACTTTTTCAATTAAAATGCGTGAAGTCATCTCTATCCACCTTGGGCAAGGCGGCATTCAAGTCGGTAATGCCTGCTGGGAACTCTACTGCCTCGAGCACGGTATCCAGCCTGATGGCCAGATGCCCAGTGACAAGACCATTGGCGGAGGAGACGACGCCTTCAACACTTTCTTCTCCGAGACCGGTGCCGGCAAGCACGTTCCGCGTGCTGTGTTTGTCGACTTGGAACCCAGTGTCTGCGACGAAGTGCGCACCGGTACTTACCGCCAGCTCTACCACCCGGAGCAGATCATTTCTGGCAAGGAAGATGCCGCCAACAACTACGCGCGTGGTCACTACACCATTGGCAAGGAGATCGTCGACCTGGTGCTGGACCGCATCCGTAAGCTGGCCGACAACTGTACGGGCTTGCAGGGTTTCCTAGTCTTCAACGCCGTGGGCGGTGGCACTGGCTCCGGTCTCGGTGCGCTGCTACTAGAACGTCTGTCGGTCGACTACGGCCGCAAGAGTAAGCTCGGCTTCACCATCTATCCGTCGCCGCAGGTGTCTACAGCCGTCGTGGAGCCGTACAACTCGGTGCTGTCCACGCACTCGCTGCTAGAGCACACGGATGTGGCCGTGATGCTCGATAACGAGGCTATCTACGATATCTGCCGCCGTTCTTTGGATATCGAGCGTCCCACGTACACGAACCTGAACCGCCTGATCGCCCAAGTCATCTCATCGCTGACTGCGTCTCTCCGTTTCGACGGTGCGCTGAATGTCGATGTGACAGAGTTCCAGACGAATCTGGTGCCGTACCCGCGTATCCACTTCATGCTCAGCTCGTACGCACCGGTGATCTCGGCCGAGAAAGCCTACCACGAACAGCTGTCGGTGGCGGAGATCACCAACAGTGCGTTCGAGCCTGCGTCCATGATGGCCAAGTGCGACCCTCGCCACGGCAAGTACATGGCTGCCTGTCTGATGTACCGCGGTGACGTTGTCCCCAAGGACGTCAATGCTGCCGTGGCCACCATCAAGACCAAGCGCACCATCCAGTTCGTGGACTGGTGCCCAACGGGTTTCAAGTGCGGCATCAACTACCAGCCCCCGACGGTGGTTCCTGGCGGTGATCTGGCCCGTGTGCAGCGTGCCGTGTGCATGATCTCCAACACGAGTGCCATTGCCGAGGTGTTCTCGCGCATCGATCACAAGTTCGATCTGATGTATGCGAAACGTGCTTTCGTGCACTGGTACGTCGGTGAGGGCATGGAGGAAGGTGAATTTTCGGAGGCACGTGAAGATCTTGCGGCTCTGGAGAAGGATTACGAGGAGGTGAGTGCGGAGACCGCCGAGGGCGAGGGTGAGGAGGAGGAGCTGGGCGAGGAGTACTAGGCATACTCATTTTCTCAGTACAGGCATCCACTCTTTCAATGATGCTAGCTAAAAGCTTGTGTTGGAAGAATGAAACACTGTAGTTCCATCTTCTTTCTCAATGAGGTCGCCTACCTTTGTCAAGCTTCTACTACCTGTTTACCGCCCCTCAGTAGCCAAACGTTGTTGCAAGTCAGCTAAAGAAGGGAGGCGATCAACTTGTTCAACATCTCCAATAACAGACAACGTTGGTAGCCTCCAGCTTGGAGGCCACCAACGTTGTACGGAGTCCAAGGTGATTCCTGACAGACAAATTCCTGGTTAATGTTAACATCATAATCGAGACCGAAACGGAGGCAACGTGTCTACTAGGCTCTTCCTAGATGCTTAACGGACCGATCCTCTGCTTTGTCTATTTTTGAGGAAGCTCTTCAACTTTAAAAAAACGGCTGCCTCAATGTTGGATCGTTTTTAGATAGCAAAAAGCACTGGCGTTTAAGCAGTTAATATATTTTTTTACCGGTGTATAAACTAATTTTTATTTACGAGGTGTGTTGCTTAATTACCCTTCATTTTGCTAACCTGATTTAATTAAAAAATGGGCATGCTTCGCGTCCGGGTATTTCTAAACAGGTATTATCCAGTTTTTAAAACAGGTTTTATCCAGGTATGGAATTAATTTTTATTTCCGTAATATTCATTCGGTCTCACAACCACCGATTGGGAGAACAAGCCACGCGTCAGCTTCCAGGCCCCGTGAGTGCTGTCCCCCTTCCTCCTCGCAATAACACGAACCCACAAGACCGCCATGATCAAGGCACAGATGGCGGAGAAGGTTCGCCTCGAAGAAGAGGAAGCACGCCGGCGAGATGAGGCTCAGATAGCAGATCTTGAAAGCGCGCGAACACGCTCTGATAAAGCTGGCGCGTTGGGCCGTGCGAGTGGCCCACAGAGTGACGATCTTGCACCCCCCCTCCTACTACAGGAGCTAACGGCGAAGAGAAAGATGCTGGCACAGGAGAAATAGAAGACGGGAGAGAAGAGCAAGAAGCTGAAGAGGAAGAGATAGAAGAAGAAAGTGAAGAAGAAGATGCTGAAGAAGATGATGATAACATTGAGGAGCACTCTTCAAGAGTAAAGGGGAGCAAGGGAAAGAAACGTCAATTTCGGATGTGGAAGACGACAGATTGGTTGGGGTTCCTGCGTTTAAGAAGGAACATGGCTCCTGGGCAAGTCTTGAGGTGAGCCTGCGTGAATACATGGAGAAAACGCATCAAAAGATTGTGACCAAAGAAGTTATCCATACGGCTCGACGCAACGCTGCACTTCGATCTCAAATTCGATTCAAGGGACGGCCGGACTCCGAGACCCCCCTTGTTCCTTCGGAGCTAAAACCCTTCCAACGCAAGTACATTTGTACTCACGGTTGGTCGGAGCGTGAATGATCTACCGGAAAACGAACGTCACACACGTTACGGCGCACGGAGTGTCCGTTCCAGATGCTGGCTCAGCTAACGCAGAAGACGGACGGATCGTGGGTCGTCATGATGAGGCGCGAGGTCTACCAACACAACCACTTGGTTTCAGAGGACATCTACAGGTAATATCCAGGTATCCGTCTGGTTACCGATGACTCGCCTCTTATACCTGGCGTAGAGGTGCTACTGGAGGCACAGGCCGGTACTACGGGCATCTATGACTACAATCGAAGTCATTCCAACCACCGCGTTACCATGGATGATGTTCGCAACCTTATTGCACGATTGAAGCGCAAAGGTAAGCTTGGGAAATCATGAGCAATGTGTAATCATTTCTTATCTATTTGCTGGTGTGTGTGTACAGGCGCAGATCTGTCCGACAATGACGCAGTTGCGGAAATGATTTTGGATTTCAATCTTGAGTCACCTAATAACGTTTCTACGGTCAATGAAAATGCTCGTGGGGATACTGGCGTGATTTCACTCACAAGTGGACACATGCGTGCAATGATGGGTAGCTTTCCGGAAGTAATCCAGATGGACTGTACAAATAAGACCAACGAGTAAGTACTTCCTGTGGTGGTGCCGGATAATGGTATCAGGTTTTCTCCAGGTATTTTCCAGGTATTAATTGTTCTTGTGAACAGGTACAACTATCAGTTACTGAGCATAGTTGCCATGGATCAGTTCGGAGGAGGCCAACCGATTCAGTACTCGCTTTTGGAGACAAATTCTTATTGGCACATGGGCAAGTGCCTTGACCATTTTAAGCGCTCTAACGAACATTGGCGACTGGTTCGAATTGTGATTGTTGACAAGGACATGAAAGAGATTGAGGTGATCCGCCAGAAACTCCCTGAGGCACGTATACTGTTGTGTCATTTCCACGTTATTAAATGGCTACACAACACTATCCGGAACTCGAAGAAGTACGGACCCTACGAAGATTCGGTTCTCGCGCAGATGAAGCACAATATCTCCAACATGACCTACGCACGGACGGTTGCCGACTATGAAATGTACCGAGGGGAGTTTGAACACCTGTCGTGCATCGACGGAAGGAAGGATCTATGGGAGTACTTAAAAAAAACTGGGATTCTCTCTCAGAAATGTGGGTGATGGCGCATCGCGTGTATCTCCCTCACTTTGGTAACCACACCAACAACCGAGTGGAAAGTCTCTTTGGGAAGTTGAAGCTAACGCTGAAAGCCAAGCTGACGATGAAAGCTAGTTTGGCGGCACTGTTTAAATATCAAAGACGCCTGGAAGAAGACTATTATTCGAAGGTGGAAATACCAGGGACCTTGCGCGACGTGGATTTCCCTGAAGAGATGAACGTCGTATTAGGAATGACTACGCGTTGGGTGGCAGACGCAATTAAGCCCCACTATGATGTAGCCATGGACCCAACAATTTGCGCCTTATACGCTTTTAGAGACAACGAGCCACTGCTACTGTCAGAAGAAATGAACGGGAGTTTCTTTTCGAGAAGGAGAGCTGGAAATGCGATTGCGAGTTTTCCCAGACAATGCAGCTTCCATGTCGGCATGCGATGGTATACAGGAGGACGTGTGGGCACCCGTTTGTCATTCCCTACGCTGCAATTTCACCCAGGTAAGTGCATTTACTGTCCAGGTATTATCCAGGTTTTGGCCAGGTTTTTTCTGCATCACCTCAGTAACATAATGTTTGGTATTTTGCGTTTGATAGATGGTTTGGACAGAGTCGCCGTTCACCTGTGCATCTACCC